GGGCGAGGGCGTGGCCGCGGCGGCGGCTGGGGAGCGTAGAGAGGGGTGCAGGGCGCGTCATGCCGTCGGCGTCAGCGGAGGGCGTGCAGCGGCGCGGCTGTAGTGGCGGCAGCTGGCAGGGCGGTCAGCTGCAGCGGGAGCGGCCATGAGTACGGCCTACGGCAGCAGCCGGCACACGAGAACGGGGGACCGTGCGCTGTCTGGGGCGCAGCGCGGCTTGGCGCGGCATGGCCGCCAGCAGCGGGGCAGGGCCAGCTGGCAGGAGGGGGAGGAGACTTTGGGGTAGAAGGGTTGTACCGCCCGGGAGTGGAAGTATGCCGACAGGGCCGCGTCCCGTAGCGCCCGCGACGGGCAAGCCTTGAGGCTATGGCCGCCGCACACCCATTGCCACCGCACGCCCCCACGCCACCTGCCGCCCGCAGGGGCCACGCGAGCGAGAACCCCGAGCTGCCCACGGCGCTGGCGGCGCGCGGCATCCGTTTCCTGGGCCCCCCTGCGGCGGCCATGGCGGCGCTGGGCGACAAGATCGGGTCCACCATCCTGGCGCAGGCGGCGGGGGTGCCTACCCTGCCGTGGAGCGGCAGCGGCGTTGCGGTGCGCGGGGGGCGCGCAGTCACACATGCAGCAGCACGCCGCCATGCGCGGCGTCTGGGGTAAAGCAGGGAGGGCGGTATGCAGGCTGCTTGACCCGCAAGGTGTTTTGGGGGTCCCGCCTGATGGTAGTCCTGACAGACCGCATCTCACTGCTTTGCCGTGGGCATTAGCTGCCCCAAGGCCCCGAACCACACCGCCCCTCCGCCTTCCGGCGCCCCCAGATCTCCTACGAAGACTGCGGGGGCGAGATCCCGCTGGACATCTACAACAAGGCCTGTGTCTTCTCGCTGGAGGAGGCCATAGAGTCGTGCAACAGGATAGGGTGAGGGGCGCCCGCAAGCGGGCGCGAGAGCGTGCGCAGCAGGGCCGCCCGAAGCTCGGCGGGCGCGGGGTTCGTGGCGGGCGCGGCAGGGCCAGCGGGGTCTGAGAGTGGCGCAGCAGCTGCTCTCCCTCCTACCCTCGATTAGCGGCCAGCTCGTCCGCCCATCCCACCCCCTCACCCCCTGCCTGGCAGCCCACTAACCCGCATCACCCCGGCCTCACCGCCCCCGCCCCACCCTGCTCCTCCACAGCTACCCGATCATGCTCAAGGCCAGCTGGGGCGGCGGCGGCAAGGGCATCCGCAAGGTGCAGGGCGACGAGGACGTGCGCGCCGTGTTCAAGCAGATCCAAGGGGAGGTGCGCGGACCATGGGGGTGGGGTGCGGAGGGTGGGGGTGCTGAGGTGTGTGGAGGAATGGGGTTGTGGGGTTGGGACGGAGGGGTTGCAGTTCGGGGCGGGACCTGCACAGAGCGAGCCCTAGTCCGCGAGGCAGCGCTCGTCTGGGTGAAGGGGAAGGGGGGGGGGGGAGCATGGGGCGGTGGTCTGTGTGTGGCGTCTGATGTGGCTGTCGCTGGGGCTTGGGTTGCGTGGAGTGTATGGGACGGGGTGCAGTGTGGCCCATGCCCCCTCCCTGAGCTCATGCCAGCAGTGCCGTTTTGCACACCTCACGTGGCCTGACCCCCACCCCCCCATCCCGCGCAGGTCCCCGGGTCCCCCATCTTTGCGATGAAGCTGGCGCCGCTGTCGCGCCACCTGGAGGTGCAGCTGCTGGCTGACCGCCACGGCAACGTGGTGTCCCTGTTCACACGCGACTGCAGCGTGCAGCGCCGCCACCAGAAGATCGTGGAGGAGGGGCCCGCGCTGGCGGCCAGCCAGGAGGTGCGGGGCGGGCGGGGCTCGTGTTCAGGCCTGCGGCGAGATCCGGCGCCCCACATTTGCACGAGCAGGATCTCTGCCCCGCCTGCCGTTCCACAATCGAAATTAGACCGATGAATTGAGGCATCCTCAAGCTCAAAATCAACAACCCCTCACCACTCAACCACAAATAACGGGCCCCTACGCAAACACCCCAACCCGGGCCCCAGATGCTGCGCGACATGGAGCGCTGCGCGCGCGCGCTGGCGCGCAGCGTGGGCTACCAGGGCGCTGCGACTGTGGAGTACCTCTACTCCATCGAGGAGAAGAAGTACTACTTCCTGGAGCTCAACCCCAGGTGCGCTGCCACGGCGTGAACAGGGCCTGTTGACCGGGGAGGGTTGACCACGTTTGACTGTGTTTGACCGGGGCCCTCAGGCCGGGCCGGGGCCCTAGAGCTGAAACAGGAGTCAGCTCACGATGTACAGGATGCATGTTGTGTTGAGTATGGGTGCTGGTTTGCCAGCTGATTGTCCTCGTGTCCGCTTGCTGGGGCTGCTGTCAGCTGCTGGGATGCAGCTCACCAGGTTTAAGAGCGGTCTTGTCCAACCTGACCAACACTGTTGCACCCCTCCCGTGGGTCTGGGGTTTCTGCACAGGCCGTCACTTCGGGCAGCCCAGTGCAACGGCCCCATCCTCGCCTGAGCCTCCACACGCGCATCCTTCTCTCTCTTCGTCACTCTCCCGCCCCCTCACCCCACCCTCCCTCATGCCACCCCCCCTTGCTCCCTTCCGTTTTACCCGCCACCTCGCGCCCGCCAACAGGCTGCAGGTCGAGCACCCCGTCACGGAGGGCATCACCAACGTCAACATCCCCAGGTGACGCCCGCAGCGCGCCCCGGCACCCTGCGCCGCTCAAAGGGTGGACCAGCCCTTGACGCGCATCGCTGCCCACCTGGTGGCTGCGCCACCAGTGCCCCTCCGCCCACCGCGACCTGAGGTCAGCTCTACACTCATTGAGCGGGCGCCGAGCTCGCCCACACAAACTTGGCCTCCCCCCTTCTTCTCCCAACTCCGCAGCGTGCAGCTGCTCATCGGCATGGGCGTGCCACTCTGGCGCATCCCCCAGGTGCGGCCTCCGTGCATTCCCCCGCGGGTCACAGGCACACACCAGCACACCCAGCCTCGCCACATGCAACCACCTTCGTCATCGGAGTTCCTCCAGATGCCAAGCCCCTAGATCCAGGCGGCCTCCAGCCACAGCCGCTCCTGTCCACCACACCCTACTCCCAGCACGCTCGTACGTGCTCACATGCACACGCGCGCGCACACACAAACATACATACACACGCACACTTTGCGCCAACCGCTCGTGGGTGCAGCAGACCCAGGCTCCCTCCGCCCTGCGCCACCACCGCGCCCCCAGGTCCGCGCGACCTTCCAGGGAGTGGAGGCACGGCTGGAGGTGGAGCAGTTTGACATGGAGGCCACGCCACAGCGGCTGCCAGACAGCCACGTCGTGGCGGTGAGGCCACCCACTGCCAACGGCTGCGCCGGGGGCGGCGGCCGCCGGGCGGGGTCTGGGGGGAGCCTGGCCGCTTGCAGAGCGTCGCCTAGGGGCCGCTGCGCATCCCTACCTCTTCCTGCGCCGTGGATGGCAATTGTGCCGCTGGAATTAGGTCATGCAGGCCCAGCGTGGGGATGGCTCAACCCCTTCGAGCTTCGGCCACTGCCGGCGCAACAAAAGTCTAGGGCTCACCTGTCATCCTCACACGCATCGTTCCGCATCAACCCGCGCGTGCACCGCCCCACTCTCTGCTGAACCCACGTCGCACTCCCTCCCCCGACGCGCCCCAACAAAGGTGCGCATCACTTCTGAGAACGCCAACAACGGGTTCAAGCCGACTGCAGGCCGCATCGACGAGCTCATGTTCAAGCCCACGCCAGAGGTGGGTTGGGGCGGAGCTCTTGCGTCTGAGGGGGCGGGACAGGGGGGCGGAGCCCTCCTTGAGCGCCGCGCGCGAAAAGGGCGGGCGGCGCTCCTTTGGGGTGCCGAAGCCGCGAGGCGTGCGCTCTGTTCCGACCGGGCCATCGTGGACAACAAACAGACAGGCACCGAGGCGGCTTCAATCGTCTGGCAGCGCTCCTCCGCGCAAACAGGCCCCAAAGCCGGCCCTTCAGCCATCAACCCTGTCGGCGTCCCCGACTGCTCCCCTAGCGAACAAGAGGCACTACAACGAACCCGCATCTGCACGAACCAACCGCCCCTCTATACAAAGCAAACCGACCCAAGTAACATCATCTAACGCGCCCCTAGGTGTGGGGCTACTTCAGTGTGAAGAGTGGCGGCGGCATCCACGAGTTCTCGGACTCTCAGTTTGGCCACCTCTTCGCCAAGGGGGAGACGCGGGAGGCGGCCATCAGGGCGATGGTGGTGGCGCTGCGGGACGTGCGCGTGAGGGGGGAGATCCACACGATCATCGACTACGCGGTTGACATGCTGACAAGCCCGGTGGGTTGGGAGTCGAGTTTGTTTGTGTGTTTTTGTGTGTGAGTGTGTGCGGATGCGGATTTGGATGTGGTTTTGTGTCGGGTTGATGGGTGCCTGCAAGGGTGGTTGGGTGGCAGTGAGTGTTTCATGCCTAGGTGTGGAGGCCTGGCTTTTGGGCCGCCGTTGTGGGGTCAAGACGGCGGCGCAGTATGACCTTGAGTGGGCGGCTTGCTCCTGTGGCCCTGTCGACGCCACCTGGAGCGGAGGCCCCGCATCAGCATGCAACTGCCAAAGCCCTGCTTGGCCCGGCCCTCCACGCCTGCACACCCATCCTCCCCTCCCCTCCCCCCCCTGAGCAGGACTTTGTCCAGAACCGCATCCACACCGGCTGGCTGGACGCGCGCATCGCCGCCAACGTCAAGGCGGAGCGGCCGCCGTGGCACCTCTGCGTCATCGGCAGCGCAGTGGTGGGCACCTTTCCGCCGCCGCCCCTGCACCCATGACAACAGCTTCCCGACCTCTCAGGCTCGAGCTCCTGGCTGTCGTGCCGTACGGTCGCTCGACCGCGACCCAACCGCC